AATCACCTCCTGGCCTAGTTTTCAAAACTGATATTGAGCTTCTCCAGTCTTCTTTCCATAGATGTAATTGATCTGATTCCTATACATCCAACACATTGTGGACATTATCAATGTTATTAATATCACACATAAGTAAAATATTCTTGACTCTTATTTAAAAAAAATACTAAAATAATGCACTGGAAATCCAACTGCCAGAAATTTAAGCTACTTTCAGAAGAGTCTGTGAATGAGAAATATCACTGATGATGACAAATAAGTCTTGACTAAAACCAGAGAATACCAGAAAGATGTTTACTTGTGTTTTATTGAAAAAGTAAAGCATTAGCTGACCGTCTGGTGGGTTTTCAGAGGCATTTAATTGCATGAGAGTAGATTTTCCCCCCATCCTTCTCCTGTGGAGCAGCTGGTGACCTCTAATCTCATGTCTTTAGGATTGCAGTGCAGTTTCTTGCCTCTAGGGCCACAAGAGCTCTCTTAGACTAAATTATACTAAATTGCAGATAGAATTGAGAATAATGAGAATTCCAGAACACTCTCCTGTGCTCAAGCAGAACCTATCTATGAACCAAGAAGCCACAGTTCAAATGGAAGAGACTGCATGGTTAAAATCAGAAAAGTATATGACAGAGTTATTTCCTTTCACCATACCTATTCAAAGTATATACAAACAAATAAGGCAAGAATATGGTCTACAGGAAAAAGAATGAGACAGCAAGATTGGAGGAAGATTCATCATGCATTATTAAGACAACCGTGTTTTCAGAAAGTGAAGAATTGGAACACTTATGATCAAAGACTACATGCTTTTGTATGGATTACACTTCAATGTCAAGAAATTAAAAACTCTTCTCAACTGATTGAATAGGTGGTAACATGGGAAATGTTGACAATTATTTCCACTTACTTGCATTCACAATAAATATCCATTAATTCAGCAGTAAGAAATCAAAAGAAGTTTTGCATAAGGTTTATTTACTATCCAGTATAAAAAAGTAAGGCTGACAGGTCTTTTTTCATTGATGTTGTTGTTGTTGTTGTTAAGTGCCATCGAGTTGCAGGAGACTCATAGCAACCGTATGAAGGACAGTCCTCAACGCTTAGGTGTCTTTCATCCTCTCTCCAGGTTCATAGGGTTTCCCGAGGGAAGCTATTACTGAAGTGAATGCCACTCCTCCTTCCAAGCTTGTTTTAATCAAGGAGCTCCACACAGCTCTCTGTCCACATTGGGTAACCAACCATTAATACATTTGATACATCAGTGTTGTAGTGTTCAGCCTCACGGCAAATACAAGTGACCGCGGTACGGCAACTTGTACACCAGAGCTATACAACCTAGAGGAATTTTCATTGATAGTTCCTGTTATTTTAAAGAGTAAGGTGTGCCTGACTCAAGCTATGACATTTTCAATTGTTTATGGTAAATGTACTAATTGGATGGTGAAAAGGAAGACCAAATAATAAGTAGCTTACTATTGGGGTATTGATGAGGTGCATTGAATATACCATGCATTGCAAAAGAACAACAAACCAAAAAAAATCTGTCTATGAAAAACTGCATGAGATCTAGTGGCCTATTGATAAGAGGTTGTGCTGCAATCCCAAAGGCACACAGTTCAAGGCCATCAGCTGGTCTGCAGAAGAAGCATGACAATCTCCTCCTGTGAAATTAACTTCCTCTGAAAACCACCGAAGAGTCAGTATGAGTTGATTCTGACTCCACAATAAACAACATAATAATAACATGAAGAATTGTAGTCAGGGCATTTCTTAGAGGTAAATATAGTCAGACTTCTTCTCATATGCATTGGAAATTTATCAAAAGAAATGAGTCCTTAAAAAGGGCATGTTATGGTTGGAAAAGCAGAGGATCAGTAAAGGAGACTCAAAAATATGGAAAGATACACTGACTGCAATAACAGGCTTGAGAAGAGCAGATTGTGAGAACGGTGCAAGTTCAGGTATGGCTGGTTCTGTTTTACATATAGTCACTGTAAGTCAGAGTTGACCTGACAAAACCTAACATTAACAACAACATCCACTTATTTATAAGAAATCAAAAATAGACAATATCCAACAAGTAGAACTTCCCATAGTTTTAACAGTCATCTCACCAATTTGAAAGTTGAAAAATGAATGAAGGTAAAAGAAGAAGAATCTATGCCTTTGAGTTGTGGTTTTGGAAAAGTATACTGTAAGAGCATGAACAACTATGTCTTGGAAAAAGTGCAAGCAGGGTACTTCTTAAAGGCAAGGATAGTTAAACTTCATCTCACATAATTTGAGCATGTTGTTAGAAGTGTCCATTCCTTGGAAAGGATACCACATTTGGAAAAGTAGAGGGGGGTCATTAAAGACAGGAAAACCTTCAACAAGATAGATTGATATGGGAACTGTATTGATGAGGTCAAGTATATCAGGAGGATGGCACAAAATGGGGCAAGTTTCAGATCTGCTGTCCATAGGGTCACTGTGAGTCATGGTCTACTTGATGGCACTTAACAACAACAAGTAATACAAATATAGCCAGGACACTGTTTCTTCTTACTCCCCAATAAATGTCCATATCTCCTTTATATCTAGTCAATTCTTAATTTAAGCCTTTATTCAGTCATTGTGTCACATTATATGAGTTCTAGTTATTTACTGCTGTTGCTGTTGTTAGGTGCTGTGGAGTCTTCTACAACTCATACAAACCTTGTGAATAATAGATTTGAACCTTATCCTATACTGTGGTATCACCACAGTCACTGTTAAAGTCTATTATTGTATTCACTGTCTCAGTCTTTCTACTTGAAGATCTTCCTCTCTTTCTCCAACACTCCAACTTTCTCAGTGTGATGCTTCTTCTCAAGGAATAGACCTTTTGGATAACATGACAAAATATTGAAGACGAAGTTAGTAAGATACTTTCTGGTTGTCTAGTGAGTAGGGAGTTGCACTGCTAACCCAAAGTTGGTACCTGTCTGGCAGTTTGAATTCACCAGTCGCTTCACAGGAGAAAAATTGCTTATGTTCTCCTATGCAATTTAGAGCCTCTGGAACCTGTCAGAGGGTCCGCTTAAGTCAGTACTGTGTTTCAGTATTGTAATTAATGATGAAGAAATAAAAAATCCTTCTAAGTGACCCATAAAAAAAGTCATGACTAATTGTGAAATATTTAAATTGTCAATAATTTTATTCTCTTAGATTAACCAAAAAATATGGAAACAGCAATCAACTTTGATAATCCAAGTAATATGATCAAAGCTTAAAATTTTAAGTCACCTAATACATATGGTGAAAAGGAAAATCTAAGAAGAATCAATGTTCTATAATTGTATAGTGTGCAAGAATACTGATTGTGCCATTTTTTGCTGAATATATAAACAAATCTGTATTGTTGGAAATTCAGGCAAAATGATCCATATTCTGAAGAATAGGCAGTCTTTGTCCCTCTCACATGGTACTAACTGTTAAAAAAGGAGATAATTTTTTATAAATTAGACAGCAAGAAACAATAACCCAAAAACCCAAATGAACTAGGGGCACCATGACAAATGGTGAAGAATGAATTTGATTAATACAATGAATTCAATAATGAGTTCAGACACAGTAACAGTTTTGAGGAGTTGGCAATACTACTTTTGTTATACATTAGGTTTCAAAGAGTTATAACTGAGGAATAGCATCTATCAACATCTAATGTAAATAACAATAGTTATTATGAAAGGATAGAGCTTGTGAGATGGTCAGAGAATATTAAGACTGAAAGATTTTGCAAAAGAGTTATGGATCAAGTGTAAGTGGTTTTTTAAAAAAATATTATGATGTTACAGAAATTTTCTTCTACTCATTTTCTTGTTGTTAGGAGCTATCAAGTCAAAGACAAATCATAGTGACCCTATGAACAACAGATCTGAACGCTGTCCTATCTTGTGTCTTTTTCATTATCACTGACATACTTCTTAGTACAGGTCCAGTGGTTAGAATTTTTTATGTTGAAATGTAGTCTATATTGAACGCTATAATCTTTGAGCTTCTGCAGCAAGCCCTTCAAGTCCTTCTCACTTTCAGCAAGCATATAAGCAAGCAAGGTTGTGTCATCAGCAAAATATAGGTTATTGATGTGTCTTCCTCTTATCCTGATACCACATTCTCCTTCAGATAAACCAGCTTCTTGAATAATTTGCACAGCATACAGGTTGATTAGGAATGTAGAAAGGATACAACTCTGACACACACTTTCTTAATTTTAAATCATGTAGTAGTGTTCCCTTGCTCTGTTCACACAACAGCCTCTTGGTGTAGGTTTCACACGAGCACAACTTAGTGTTCTGGAATTCCCATTCCTCTCAATGTTATCCATAATTTGTTTGAGCCACATAAATACTAGCATATAGTCAATAAAATACAAATATATCTTCTTCTGATATTCTTTACTTTCAACTACAATCCATTTGACATGAGCAATGATATCCCTGGTGCCATGGCTTCTTCTAAATCCAGCTTAACCTTCTGGCAATTCTCTATGTATTCTTCCAGCCATTTTCAGATCATTGTAGACAATATTTTGCTTTCATATGATATTAATGACATTTTTCACATTGTGTTGGATCACTTTTCTTGGGAATGAGATCAGATATGGATTGTTGGATTGTTTCCACTCAGTCAGCCAGGCAACTAACCTTCCAATTTCCTGGTATAGAATGATGAACAGGTCCAGGCCTGCATCTGCTATTTAGAATGTGTCTTTTGACATCCCACTGATTCCTGCAGGCTTATTTTTTTGCCAATGTCTTCTGTACAGCCTGAACTTCTTCTTTCATCAACATTGACTCTTGATCATTTACTTAGCTTATTTAAGATAGAGCTATTATACCAGAATATTTAAAAATACAGTGTTGTTCACCATCTTCCTACACATGTGTGATCTTTACTGGTTTTTTTAGTGAAAAAAGACACCTAGGAGAAGAAATTAAAAGGCATGCAATTATTCACTTAAGATTTTATTACTTTACCATTTTTATTTAACATGAGCGTCTCTAAACATGAAGATTATTGATACTGAGATATGGAAACTTGTATCTCAGAGCTTTTGAATATTCCTTTGCAAGCATAGAGCCATCAATACACATTGGTGATATGTTTGTGGTTGGTGAAGGCAAAATTCTTGTGACTTTTCTCTTTTTAGAGTTTTCTCCCTTTTTAGGATTTTAGAATCTTCTTCAATGCTCTCTTCACATCTTTGTTTCTCAAGGTGTAGATGAGTGGATTCAGCAGTGGAGTGATTAGACAATAAAAAAAAGATATGAACTTGGCCTGGGTGCTATTGTTAGGGGGCTGTAGGTACATGTAGATGGCTGGCCCATAATACATAGTGACGACCACCATGTGAGAACTGCAGGTGCTGAAGGCCTTGTGTCTTCCTTCAGCTGATGGTAATTTCACCACAGCCCTGGTAATTAAGGCGTAAGACACCAGCACAAGTAGTGGAGCCAGTAACACAAAGGGAGTGGCTCCCACAATCAGTGTCAGATCATTAGCAGTGGTGTCTTCGCAGGACAACTTGATCAGAACAGGCAGCTCACAGAAGAAATGGTCCAGAGTATGGTGATCACAATAATGGAGCTTGAGTGTGAGAGTGCCTTGGAGTAGTGAATTGGCTAGGCCACTGCCCCAGGCTAAAATTGCCAACTGCATACACAACTGGGGACGCATGATGAGGCTGTACTGGAGCGGTTGACAGATAGCCACATACCGATCAAAGGCCATCACTGTTAGCAAGATGCATTCAGTACATGCTATCAAGTGGAAGAAATAGGCCTGTGTGAAGCAACTTCTGAAAGCTATTGTCTTCTGTGGTCCCCAGAGATTAGCCAGCAACTGTGGCAAAATAATGGTGGTAATACAGAGGTCTAACAAAGAGAGGTTATCTAAGAAGAAGTACATAGGAGTGTGAAGTCTGGGATCCACCACAGTAAGAAGGATGATGAAGCCATTTCCCAACATGGTCAAGATATAGAAGACTAAGACCACACCAAAGAGAGGCCTCTCCAGCCACGGATGATCGGAGAAGCCCAACAGTACAAACATACTTTGGAAACTCATATTTTCTCTTTCCATGACATCAACAATTTGTAAATCTAGAAGACAAGAGAAAAAATGTAGAGAATAAGTTTAACTTTCAAGTTTCAATCACTCTAAGGAAACATAAAATCTTCCATGTGTTGGTAGAACAAGTCTCAAATTGGTATCGGAAGTTTAAAAAAAAAGAATGAATCTGTTCTATATAAATAAAATATATTCTCTAGTGCAAATACCTATCTCCATACCTTTTTAACCTGTATGCAGAACAGATTATCCGGGAGGCTGGGCTCTATGAGGAGAAGTGTGGCATCAGGACTGATGGAAGATCTATTAACAATCTGCAATATGCAGATGACACAACCCTGGTTGCTGAAACTAAGGAGGACCTGAAGCACCTGCTGCAGAGGGTCAAGCACTGCAGCCTCCAATATGGATTGGGGCTCAATGTCAAGAAAACAAAGATTCTCACCACTGGACCAATTGGCAGCATCAGGATGGATGGTGAAGAGATTGAGATTGTACACAGCTTTAGTTTGCTCGGCTCCACAGTCAACAATCTCAGCACCAGTAGCCAGGAAATTAAAAGGCTCATTGCCATGGGAAAGTCTGCTGTTAGGGACCTCTCTAAAGTACTGAAGAGCAATGGTGTCTCTCTGGAGACTAAGGTGCGTCTGATACAGACCATGGTCTTCGCAATCACTTGTTACTCATCAGAGAGTTGGACAATGACTAGGGAGGATAGAAGGAGAATTGATGCCTTTGAGCTGTGGTGCTGGAGAAGAGTATTGAGGGTACCATGGACTGCTAGGAAAACAAACATATTCATCCTGGAAAGGGTTAAACCGGGTGGCTCCTTGGAGGCAAGGATTCTGAGGCTCCGTCTAACATACTTTGGACATGTTGTGAGGAGAGACCGGTCCTTGGAGAAGGACATCATGCTTGGGAGGGTGGAGGGACAGTGCAGGAGGGGAACGCCTCTATGAGGTGGATTGATTCAGTGACTGGGATAATCGGGATGCGTGTGTTGGAGACAGTGCGATTGGGCTGTTGTGCATAGGGTCGCTATGAGTCACAAGCGACTCAAAGGCACATAACAACAACAACAATAGTGTAAATAAACACCATGTTAGCTGCTGCGATTGAGTGAGAGATTTAGCTGTAATAAACAAGATATTATGAGCATAGACATCCTGTTTTTTATTAGGTGCCAAAGAATTGAGTAAAATTCAAAGTGACCCTCTGAACAACAGACATGAATCCTGTCTTATCCTGTGCCATCCTCACCGTTTCTGATACACTTGAACCCATGGCTGCAATTACCATGTAAATCTTTCTTGTTGAGGATCTTCCATTCTTTCCCTGACCTTCCAAGCATGATATCCATTCCCTGGAAATAACTTATTTTAACAATGTGACCAAAGCATGATAAAAGATGTTTTGGCTATCCTTGTCTCCAAGAAACACCGGACGGCACCATTTCCATAACATATCTATTTGTTGTTTTGGCAGTGCAGTGGATATTCAGCTCTTTTCTAACATCACAATTTAAAGGCACCAATTCTTTTTCTGTCATCCTTACTGATGTGGCATCAGGATCTGAGATACACACGTCAACCGCCTGCTTTTCACAGACGACACAGCCTAGCTTGCTTAAGGTGAGGAGATCTAAAATGCTTGCTGCATAAGATAAAATCTGTCATTATGAGCTATATTTCAATATCAAGAAAACAAAGGTCATTACAGACACCCTAGCATTTGTTTATGTAAAGATTTGGAAGCAGAAGTGGCATCCACTTCCTAAACAACACACCTCTGGAAACTATAAACTTTGATAAATGATGATGGTTATAGGAAGGCTTCAGGCCTTTTGTTCATAGGGTCACTATGAGTCATGCTCGACTCCAGGGCAATCAACATCCCCATTTTCCTCTCCTTCCTTCAATTCTTGTCTATCAAATAGTGAGTGTTAAGCTTGCAAGTCTGAAATATCCTACTGAATTTGAGTCTTTGTTATTTGTGAAATTATCAAAGCTATCAAACATATTTGTGATTCAACTTTGTCATTATAAAGTAAAAATACAGTGGAGCTTATATTTATCTTATTTGGTTGATGGAAAACTTTAATGATTTATTAATTTGGATTTATTAAAAATTTTAAATTCATTTTAGATCTATTGCAATATTTATTCATACATCAATGTATTAACATATGGTAAACTTGGTCTCTATATAAATGTTTGTTGCTATTATCTATATTTAATCTTCTGACATCTGTTTTAGTTTTGTGTGTTTTTTCTCAATGTCTTTGTAATGGCCTTTTATTTTCTTCATGGATGATACCTTTAATGCCATCACATAACTAATCAGGTGTTTTTTAATTAGTGTTCAACACATCAAACATATTATTTATATGGTTTTTAAATTTAAGTGGTATAGACTCAAGGTTGTATTTTGGTTCTTGTTATTGACCAAGGGTAAAGAATAAAAAAACAAGATAGGACACCAAGAATTTATATAAAAGCAGAAAGGTAAAGCAGGCAAGGAACCCATCTTCCCAGTGCCTTTATTAAAAATTGCCAGGGAGCAAATCACAAAGGGCTTTCTATGCAAATGAAGCTAAGCTCTTTCCATTGAAAACCTTGGCTTAACTGGGAAGGAGAGGTTAGCAAATACAAGAATTGTGTAAACACTTAAGGTCTGCCTTAGCATTTAACCCCTGTGAACACTTAAGGTCTGCCTTGGTGCTTCAGGGTAAATTCAACTTGTATCCACTCCTCCCTCATATCCTAATGCAGCATTTGGTTTATTACAAATATTTAGTATGAAATTTGTCTTCCCACAGGTTCTTAGGCACATGTTTTTTATTTTCTTGAGTTTCAATCTGAGTTTGTTCATGAGTAACTTATGGTCTGTTCGTTGCCAGCTTCTGTCCTTATTTTGACTGCTGATTTTGAGCAATGAGTCTTTGCATAGATGTAGTCTGATTAGTGTGTGTGGCCTGTCAGGTAAAATCCATGTATACAGTCATTGTTTATCTCTTTTTAAAAGAGTATACAATAAATAAATCAGAAAGTTGCATTAGAAAATGAAAAGGCCAAATCAAAAACAAAACAAAACAAAACAAAATAGAAATGCTGATATAAGAAAGATGAACAGAAGATTTCAAAGGACAAATCCAGAAGACAAAGCAAAGCATTATAATAAAATCTGCAAAAAACTGGAGTTTGAACATAGAAATTCTGTATGACCTAGCTATTCCACTCCTAGGAATATAAGCGAAGAAAATGAGAACTGAGACACAAATGGAGATTTGTACACCAGTATTCACAGCAACGTTTGCCAGTCTAAGACCATGGAAATAGCCCAAATGTTCAACTACAACTGAATGGATTGAGAAATTGTAGTACATTCACACAATGGAATACTATGTAGCACTCAGGATTGATGATTTTTAAAAATACATAATTTGGGAGAGACTAGAAAGCATTATGCGGAGTGAGCTAACTCAGTCTTATAAGGACAAATACTGCGTAAGATTATTATTGTAAAAATAATAGAATGACTAGTAAAACATGTATGGGAATCCACGGTAGGAAGCGGTAGAAGCAGAAGGGTGATGATGGGTAATGGTGGAATCTCAGACTGCACAATTCGGTGGGTTGGAAGAGAGGGTAAAGGAAATCAGAAAGACATGGCAGGGACCTGAAAAGACAGGGTAATGGTGGGCATAGTACAATGCTGATTGATTTTTATAAAACATAATAAATACAAAATGATTGTACGAAACACAATGTGAATGAAGAATAGTATGAAACACAATGTAGATGAACTTTGTAAGCAAAAGAATATATATTAAATAATTTTTAAGTTAGTAGATTATTAAAAAGAAAGAAAAACACCCAAGCTGGAGTTAATAAAACAAAAGGGAAGAACATGCTGAGTATTTCTAAAGGTAATAAAACCCTAAAGAACAAAGACAAGCATCAAGATGTACTATTGATTCTGAAGGCAGAATCTTGAATGATGCAGGAAGCATCAAAAGAGATGGGAAGAATGTTCAGAGTTACTGTATATAAAAAAAAATTGGTCAATGAGCTCTTTCAAGAAAGAATATATGATAGAGCTAAGGGTAATGAAAAAATAATTTCAAGTTGCACTTTTGCACTGAATGTGTTGTGTGTGGGGTTAGGTCCAAGGAATTTATGGACTATCAGTAGACATGTTTAAACAAACAGATGCAACCTTGAATGCACTTAACCAGTCTATGTCAAGAAATTTGGAAGACAGATACTTTGTCAGTTGACAGAAAGAGACTCATATTTGTTTCCATTCCTAAAAAAAGAAAATAAAAATAAAAAAGATCCAACAAGATAGAGAAATTATAGAAGAAAAACATTAATATTACATGCAATGAAAATTTGGCTTAAGAAAATTTTCTTAAAACCTCCTGGAAATGTACAGTTCCTCCACAGGAACTGCCATGAAATCCAAGATAGATTCAGAAGAGGTATTGGAATGACTGATATTGTGAATGTCAGGTGAAACTTGGATAAAAGCAGAGCATTGTTGTTTGTTGTTGTTGTTATGTGCCGTCGAGTCACTTGCGACTCATAGCGACCCTATGTACAACAGCCCTAAACCCTGCTCTATCCTGTGCCAATCTCATTGCCTCTGACACATCCATCCCTATT